TGGAAAAGTTGCAACCCTTCGGAAAGGTCACAACCTTTCATAAAAGTGATAACTTTTCATAAAAGTCGCAACTCTTCATTAAAGTCGCAACTTTTCATAAAAGTCACAACTCTTAATAAAAGTCACAACTTTTCATGAAAGGGGAAGGGTAATTTTGTAAATAAATAAATTAAAAGAGAATTTTGGTTTGTGGTGGCGCCACGTAAGCGGGACTAAGGTTCTCTTTTATATATATACTAGTAAAATTATCCGCGCTTCGCGTGGGAATTTCCTATCATGGATTTTATAAAATAATACTTAAAACATATCAGTCATTAAAACTAAAACACTGTATTATTTTACATACAAGATTACGTAGTAACAAACATTAATAATGTAATGGAAAATGAAAACTATTACATCTTATCATTTATCCTTGGGAAAATGCATAAATACCCCCCCAGCCTATGCCCAAAATTCCTGAGACACACCTAACCTTTACTAAGGTCCTATTACCCCCCGAACTTATTTTATGTATAATTTTCTACCCCTTTTCGACTTACGTGGCACTATCTTGTGGGCCCAGCGCGTGTTGACAATTTTTTCAAAGATAGTGCCACGTAGGCCGAAAAGGGGTAGAAAAATAATTAAAAAATAAGCTCGGGGGGGAGGGGTGGGGTAATAGGACCTTAGTAAAGGTTAGGTGTGTCTCAGGGATTTTGGGCATAAGCTGGGGGGAGCTGGGGGGGGGGTACTTATGCATTTTCCCTTTATCCTTAATAACATAAGCATAAATTAATGACTGTAAAACTACATACCAGGATTTGTAACAAAAACATTGGTGTCAGTGAGCCACTCAACATAAGCAAAGTACACAAATATTTAAATTGTGAAGAAGAAGAAGAAGAAGAATAAGGTTCAGAATTTTCGTTGTTTTAAAATGAGAGGAAATTCCTCTATTTATAGACAACAAAGGGTAGTGTGAACAAATGTTTATTGTGCCTTATCGGAAAGGTTACAACTATTTGGAAAAGTTGCAACCCTTCGGAAAGGTCACAACCTTTTCATAAAAGTCACAACTTTTCATAAAAGTCGCAACTCTTCATTAAAAGTTGCAACTTTTCATTAAAGTCACAACTCTTCATTAAAGTCGCAACGTTTCATAAAGTCACAACTTTTCATGAAAGGGGAAGGCTAGTTTTGTAAATAAATAAATTAAAAGGGAATTCTGGTTGTGGTGGCGCCACGTAGACTGGCCTAAGGTTCTCTTTTTTATATATATATATATATATATGATACTGATAATTTTTAATTGGTATTAATTAAATGATAATTTTTTGCTCTAAAATAAATTATAATAATATAATTTTTTGTGTGGTAGTAAATCGTTTCATTCCTTCTTTTTGGAAAAACTACATAGTAATTAGACATACTTCACTATTGTATATACTATTTTTACCTATACTTTTCAAAATATTACGCATCTTACCACTAATAAAGAATTTTTCTACCATATATTGAAGAAAATACACTTAGATAAATGTATTTTTGCTACCAGATACACAAAAATAGGAAGAGAGACGAGAGAGATAGGGGAGGGAGGCAAACGAGATTCGTATATGTATAACAAATATATGTGAATCAGACTAGATACATACTAGATACATGTATATGAATATATCTTATGTGATTCGCATGTATCTAGAATACCAGATACATAGGAGAGCAGCGAGCGAGATGAGAGAGAGGTGAGGGAGGCAAGTGAGATTTGTTATGTATGCTAGATATATACATGCAAATCCACTTGGACACAATGTGTCTAGCTAGAAAATATTATACCTAATTTTGACCCCATGTATCTGAGATACATTCTAGACATATTTGGAGGCACCAAAATCTGGTAAGATACGTAATATTGCAAACTAGAGTATATCTAAGTAATTAGCTGTCACGCCCCGAACCTACACCCTGGGCGGGACTGGCACTCGGAGACCATTGCTGGCCCCAAGCGAACCCTTGGCCTGGCTTTCTTAACTCAGCGGAAACTTAACTCAACAGAATAACTCAATGCCATGCAAAGACATAAATAACTTAACTGATGAAATCAAGCCAAAAAGGCAACTCTAGTCTCAAAATAGAATATTTACATATATATACATATACATGG